GGAGATGCGTGCTGAGAGCTGGAGATCTTATCATCCAGTAGGGCCCTGAATGACTCCACTGGCCGCCTTCATCCAGGCCTCGGATGTCACTCGTCGAAGCGGCCCAGGAGTGCCCAAGACGGTGGCTCCTTGGAAGGGTCCACCACTGTCCTTGTAGTCGGCAATCTCCCTGTCCATCATAGTCCTTCGTGTAATCGAGGGGGCGTTTCTCCAGAACCTCTCCGGTGTCCTGGTTATAGATTTCATGCCATAGAAGTTGTTCCCCGTCTGGGAAGGTTGGACAGGTGAGCTTGCCGTTTGATGAATTGGCCGTCCACTTTCGAGCTCCCTGAGGGACGAACATAGCGATCATGCCTGATGGGACGTCGGGTGTCCTCGAACCCGTGTCCGAGTGGAAGACATAGATGTCGGAGGTGAAGCTTGCCTTCTCGGCCAGAGCCCTGGCTTCGAGAGTCAGATCATTGAATGGCACAAATGCCATAGTCGCGGCAACAGCGCACCGCGTGAGCCATGTCGGCCACCTGGGAGCTACATGTTCTCGGCATTGGGATTCATCCGCTCCCAGTCGTCCAGGCTCTGAACACTGGGACCAAGGTCTTGCTGCATGGCTTGAAGGTGTGCCATATGCTGAATGTCCCAAACGTTGGGTCCCACCTGCATCATTGGCCCCTCTGACGTCGGTGCTGGAGCCGAGGTCGGAGTTGAGGCCGTGGCTTGATCCCTCATGAACTGCAGCATGTGGCCCTGGTTGATGGCGACCTCCCGAATCGCGGTCTCCATGGATGCAATCATGGTCTGCACGCCCTGGTTGTGGGTGCCCATGCCCGCCATGAATGTCGCGAGGATGTTCTCCAGGCGGTCCATCTGGTAGGGCGCTGGTCCCTGACTTGAGGAAGCTCCCGAGGGAGCTCGACTGTACCCCGGGCGAAGCTGCTGCTGCGTCTCCTCCACCTGCTGGAAACTCTTCGGAGTGGTAGGGGCGTCTGTCAGGTTGGATTCCAGGCTGGTGGGAGACGGGCGGATGTCGGCCACGGCATTCTGGCTCTTGGCCTTGGCCTTCGCCTTGGACCTCTTCTTCTCGTAGCTGGTGCGGGCGCCGCAGGCTCCGCACACTGTCCATGAAGCATACTGATTTCCTCTGTTGAGTCGACTGCGCTCGGGATGAGTGCAGTGTGTGCTTGTGGCCTGAGTCTCCTCCACGTACTTCACCCGCTCGGACTTGACGCTCTTCTGGGTCTTCTCGGCCTTCATGAGGCGCAGCAGCATCACTCGGGTGGTCTCCATCAGGAAGAGGAGCCGAGTCATCAGTCCATTCCATCGGCTCACAGCGCGTTCCGCATCGTGGGCGCTCGCCGGCACGCTGCGCTTGGCACGGGGCTCCATGGTCGTGGGAGAGTCGGAAGGACTGAGCGAATTGCGGGGCAGAGGTGGTCAAAATACCACCCATGACATCGGCTTGAGGGAACAATTCATCGTCGGGTGACTCCTCGGCTCCCGAATGGACTGAAGAATTCTTGCTTGACTGACCTGGCCTCTCACCTTCTGCCTTCCATGGTGTGTTCAATGCTACTGCATCCGACATCGACGAAGGTGGACTCGGCGTGGAACGGCTAGAAGTAGGGGGCCCCATAGCACATGTAGATGTCCTTCTAGACGTCATAGTTGAAGAGGTAGTAGTAGTTGATGAGGATGTAGACATGCTTGAATCGCTCGAAGGACGGCCCTGTCTAGGAATTCTGACCCCTTCTTCTGGTGGATTGGATAGGTGCTTTTCTTCGGGGCTAATCACGTCCCAGCGATCCGGCTCTTCTTTTTCAAAGTAGGAGGAGGGAGCAAGATTGAAGGCGTGTCGTGCCAATCCGTGCTTCTTCTGAACCTCCGGGGCAATGGGAAAGATGCCTCCGGTCCATTCGACCAGGGACACGCACCGGTGGCCTGATGGCAGTCTTTGCATACTCATGTCAACTCCTAGCTTTCCAAAAAAGACCCGATTCTCTTCCAGGTCGATCTTTGTCTTCAAAAATTCCAGGAAACCTACGCTCAGCAGGGGAGGGATGTTGGCCTCCAAAACTGTCATAAACAAGGTTCCGGGCACACCTCCGATGCTCACAGGAACCAAAATGGTTCGTGAGACTTTTGCTGCACCACCTATCCCTGAGGGCTCAACTCGAGGCATATCCACTTCGATGACCCGAAGGCCTGCTTCACGGAGTCGTCCTTCAAGAGCCTTTGCCGCCTCTTCGCCGATCAGGTCCTGAGTGGCGCCAATGTCGAGGATGGCTTCTCCTGAGGGGATGGTCAGGAAGGACATCTGCTCCAGGCCGGAGACCTGGGGTGGCATGCACTGCAACACATCTTGACATGCTTGAGCCACCTCGGAACGTACCTGTTGGATCCGAGCGGCGCTCAGGAAGGAGAAGTGAGATGACGTCTCCGTCGAACCTCCGCCCATGTAGGTGTAGGAGAAGCCCTGGGTCTTACTGGTCACGGGGTTCTTCCCACTCGTGCAGTCTTCGGCCCAATGTCCCTTCTTTCCGCATAGGCGGCATGTGGATATCTTCTTGAGTTGATCGCGGGACATCCGCTGATGAGGTTTGCGGTCACGGTTTGCTCGAAAGGAAGACCCTGGAACTCCTCCGAACCTGCCCTTGGGCGGATTCGGCCCATCTTCACTCTTCTGGAACGAGCCCCTGTCCTTCTTGACGGAGGCCTTTGAACATCTTGTTTTCCTTCCAGGACCTCCGCCGGCGTTGATCGAGAACCGCATAGACCTCCTGGATCTGAGTCTCGGAGAGGTTCATGCTGTCCAGCTCGGCGGCAACGATCTCGTCCGTCTCTTCTTCTTCCTCCTCGCCAGACTCCTCGATCTCCTCGGCCTGGTCCTGTAGGAAGGTGGAGGATCCTCCAACCTCCGTGGCATAGCCAATCATCTTGTCGGACCTCACGTCCAAGCGAGCAATCGCCCTTGACACAGCTGCGGGATTGTCCTCATCCCTGCCCAGCAGGGCCGAGATGTTCTGCATGTTTTGCTCGCTCAACAGGGCTCCCTCCTTCAGCATGGTGGCCTTCAGCGACGGAGGGAAGATCATGCCATAGTGTGCCGCCTGGGTGAACTCCTTCTCTCTTCGAAGGGTGAACTGTGTCAATGACTCATCCCTCTTGCGGTGAGAGTCGGTCATCACCGCCTTGAACACTTTTCTCTTCTCGTCGTCCTCCCGAACACCGGCCTTGGCCTCGATGATGGTGATGATCTTCTCGAGATAGTCACCCTGCGCCAGCTCCTCCTCAGTGAGGTGGTCGAAGTCGGGCATCAACTCCCATCCCAGGACCCGCAGGACCTTTTCTGCCCTGCGGGGAACCGGAACGTCGGTTCCTTTGTTCCACCTGCGCACGGCCGTCACCCAGTGCTTGCGAAAGGACCAACCCGGCCACTGTGGTGGGTCGGCGTAGTCGGGCTTGGGATTGCGGTCCCAACCCCATGAACTGCCCTGCCAACCGGCATTCCACTGCTGCCACTCCTGAGGTGTCCACGGTGAGGATGTAGCCGTGGAGGATGTCGGGCCGGCCGGAGGACTTGAGCTCGGCATGGCATTAAACGCAGCCGAGTCACTGGTGGGCATAGCCGTCGACGCATGGAGAGGCACCTGCCCAGCCGCCGCTGCCGGACTCGTAATCGGCGTTGTGGTCGATGTAGTGACGTCTGCCGTTGTGGCATAGGTCGGCCGATGCGACACGGTGGCATAGTTCATGGCTTCCCAACCCTTCCAGGAAGTCCAGTCTCCTGCCTGCCAGGAGGAGGGCTTCCAACCATAGTTCCAGCTGCTTCCCCAAGGATCTCCCTGAGGAACCCGAGTAGTCCACTGAGCCGCTCCCGCGGGTCCAGCCCATGGGTCGGCTTGCAGCCAAGGATCTTGTCCTGGATCTCTGTCACCGGCTCTTGACTCCGAGGCCGATGCATGCCCCTGCATCGAGGGAGTCGCCCCGCCGGTGCCCCCCGGCACTCGCCCCCGAGTGTCCATCTGCTCCCGAAGCGTTGGGATCCTTCGCCTGAAGTCCTCGTGGGTAGAAGCTCCTGTCGCTTAACTTTTGGCTCGGCTCAGCTAGGTGTGGTTCGTCGACTGCTTTCCCTGGATCTATGGATGTAGGCTCCGCGCCACCAACTGTCGCTCTAGCAGGTTCCATGGAACAAACAGCACATGCTCAAAAGCAAACGCAGGAAGCTTTTCCACCTGCGGGGCGTTTCGGGCTTGAGCCAACCGCGAATTGCGGGTGGCGAAAGTGACATGCTTTGGCAACAGGTCAACCTCTGGTGCATGGTTCCTCATGCTTGGTTTCACAAAAGAGGATTGCAGGATGAAAGAGATGGAACACAACATGGAAGCCAAATGGTGAGCTTGATTACTAGGGGAGGGGCCGGATGGGCCCCTACTTTTAGAGGGTGGTAGGGCCGGCCCTGTGGGGGGTACCCTTTTTGAGCTTGAACACCTTAAGACTTTGATTGAGTTTTGATAAGGGAACATGACGGAATTTTGCTAGCGAGCTTTTTGGTTTGTTAACAGGGAAGGATGAGAAGAAAAAGCAGGATGAGAAGCAGAAGGAGGATGATAATGATGGATGAGAATGAAGCAGAAGGAGGATGAGAAGCAGTGGACCTCAAGATATTGGATACTGACCAAAAACAAAGTCAATAATATAACAGTAAACACGGATAAACAAGGCTATTTATATTATTCTGGGGCAGCTGAGCTTGATTAATACGGGGAGGTTTCTGGCAAAGATATTTTTTTTTATTAGGGTTATGCAAATGTGGAATTCAGGTTTTAAATTAGTTTAGTTTCGGGGGCTCGAGCTGGACTTGAGGGGGGAAGTTACTTATTATGTCAACATTACGACGACGGAATTCTACGGAGAACCGTACTATACGTACCGTCACCATTTTCCGGTTTCTCGTCCACCGCAAACCGATGGGGTCTACCCCCTCACAGTCAAGGGAACGGCGCCTCACCGAGCAAGTCACCTCTTCTGAACTGCAGCGGCAGGGGATGTTCTTGATCATCACAGTGCAAACTGACCTGGAAAGTGGACTCACACAATTTTGATGGATGAACGTGTATGTTTTCCAATAAGTCGATGATCTGATAGCACGTGGCTTCGACGAACCTGTCGACCATCATGCCTGTCGACCATCCACTGCGGATCCGCTCTCGCTCGGCTCGACATGCTGAGCGCTCCACTGCCAATCGGTTTCACCCTCTCCACCCTCACTCTGGCGCTCCTTGGAGCAGACGCGGCCAGCTTTTTTGCGACATGCAACCCAGATTTACATCAGCTTATTATCTTGTTTCGTCCAAACATTGGGATACTATAGTATTCACATTCTCATATGGTGAAAACATGTCACCACCAGTGACTCTGTCGGACTTGGACAAAAAAGAACACAAACATGAAAACCACTGCCAGTCGACCCCAGTACGAGATCTCTTTGTGACGTGTGCAGGGCGGGAGTTTCTCAGACCACAGCGGATTGACGGGCGGATTGAGGGGCCGAAGACGTGGATCCCCTAAAGCTTCTAGTGGAGGTTCTGTCTACAGCTGGTGGAGCTGACAGGTGGCCTCACTTAGCACAGCCAGCGGCTGTAGAGTATTTTGGGACCGGAATCTGACCGGTCTGATGTACATCACTTCTCAAATCAAGGCTCCTCTCTGTCCAAGCCAAGCAAAGGGTCCTTAGTTCGTGCGAAGAACAATTCGGCTCAGGGTCCTTTGTTCGGCCTGCCTACTCGGTCTGGAAGGTTGTTTCAGATTATATATTATATATACGATGGGGTCAAGTGGAGCACTGTAAGAAACAAATGGTCTCTACCCTACCTGCCGACTGTTGTTGGCATGAAGCGTGTTGCGTCAACGACATGTGTTTGGGTCAATCGCCCTGGGCGGGCCCTTTGCAAGTATGCAAGTACCCTGCTTCCATCCGAACCTCCCCTCCGTCCGTGCCGGCATCTGACGGCCGGCATGGCACCCGTGGCGAGAGCGGCTCTGAGCAACTCGCGCGCAACGAAGCTGTTGGGTACATTCTGACGCGTCATGCCATTCGCGCGGCAGAATGGATATGGATAGGTTGACATGTCGGCCTTCTATGGTGTTCCTTCTCAGGGGTCGCAAGTCCTTCTAACGGGTTGGAAAAGGAACGCCTAAAGTGCAGTGGTTGCTTGAGATGGTTGATTCCTCTGTGCCTTAGAGGCATTCCACCCAAAGAACCTGCAAAACAAGAACGTCACCCCCGGACTTGCACTGCAAGTCGGTCGGATGGGCGTGCCATGGCGTGCCATGCACCACTGACATGTCGGCTCCTCCACCCAGCCGAATCAAGGCTCAGCCGCTGAAGGTTTGGTGAAGGAGTCCAAAACTCTCTGGTGAGGTCTGCAGGGTCGGCGACGCTCCAGTCTCCCGTCTCCCGTTCGGTGTGACACGTGCACGTGCGGGCCAAGGCTCGGTCTCATCCTCAGGGCACTGGGTGCTTTCAGTCGTAAGCCTGGCCTGAAGATGTCAAGGAAGCAACGTGTCGGTGGAGAGGAGACGAGTGCGATGGAAAGCGATGGCACTAGAAGAACGTCTGAGACTTGGCGCCTGTGGCTGGCATGTCAAAACAAGTAAGAAGTGATATTATGACAAAGACAGGGGCTCCTGTTCCGCACACCTGTGCGCATGGTAAACTAAAACAAACATGCAGCCTCGTACTCATGTACAGATACAGCTAATTTGCGGGAAGTTACATCCATGTACAGTGGAGGATGATGGCTAGCTAGCAAGGGGTTGGGTCTTCTCCCGTTGTTCTGCTCTTGTTGGTCAGCTCCCGTCGTGCTCGTTCGTGCGGCGGCGACCCGATGGCGCCGTCGTTCCCGAAGTGTGAGACCAGCAGTCACAGAGCTCGGGGTGGTGTGGCTCATCCCATCCAGTGAGTGGATGTGACAGAGGCACCCCGACGACACCCTCCAAGTTCGGCACGCACCCCGTCGACCGAACGTGACTGCTGGTACTCCGATTATAATCCTTTAATGTACCGATCTTTTAAGTACCATGCAGTAACATCATGATACCTAGCAGTGGAGTCCATCGGGGTGTTCCCGACTGAGTTGATGCGTAGCTCGGGTGTTCCGTGCAGCCGAGACGACCTTACATGGTGTCCTGTGGGCCATCCATCATCCAACGTCCGTGGATGGTCCGCCTGGAGAAGTATTGCAAGCGAATCAAATCAAGTAGTCAAAATTAATGAAGGTCCATGTTGACGCGATGAATCAAATCTCCAGGGGGAGACGGACGTCCACTTCGAGAAACCCGAGGAAAAAACAAGCCTAAGGGCCTAAGATTAAGAACAAAAACAACTCCCAGACACTCCATGCAACTGCCATATATACCTACATTGGGGTGCAACTGATATATCAACTGATCTCTTGTTTTGCTTTTGGTGGTTGAACGGTTCAGCTCGGCCTTCTTTTTTTTTCACCTCGGCCGGGGGGAATGTACCCGTCCGACGCGCGGTGGAGCCAAGTCTCCCATTGCTTGGTGTCCTCAAATTCGAGGCAATGCCTGAGGCGGAGCCAGGACCCCCCAGCAGGTTGAAGGACCTGAACTAGAACCCGGAAAACCTGGGGGACCCATAAGATAGCTTTTGGGGTTCTGACCCACCTTTGTTGCCCCTGTTTCTTTCTCTAAGGCGTAGCCTCAGAGGTTGTAGCGAACAATTCTGAACGGTGAGCGGATCATCCTTAAGGATCCTGATTAAGGGTGATTTGGGTGGCTTCCACCTCTTGCGGTGTTTTGATCTCATCCAGCCCTCCACCCCACCGCGTTTTGGCCACCGAACCAGTGGCGGTTTGGCCGCATCCCTACCGCGCGACCGGACGGGTCGAGACGTTCGGCGGCTTCGTCCTCCGGTGATGCGCTGCTGTTTTTTTCGGGTCACCATAGGGTGGAGTTGACCCAACTACACTCCCCAAAATCATGGAAGTAGAGTGAACACCACCTGTTTGGTATTCAGATTTCATGATTTCGTGATTTTCCAAGGGCCGCGCCATCTACTTCCATGATTATGTCAGGGAGCGTAGAGATGTTTTCAGATTTACCCTGATGTTTGTATATAGAACCCCAATGATAGAACATAGTAAACTGCATAGTACACGCATGTAAATCCCCAGGTAGACGATGTTTTGGACACCATGCCACGGTCATCTATTTGGGGATCACGAGTGATTCGTTGCGGTGGCCGCTCTGACCAGGCTTGATGACCTGAAAGCATGTCTTGCAGCAATCCCGTGTTTATAGAGACCATAGGTAAGAGCAAATGCAAACTGTTCTCAACTTTTTCAAAACCCAAATTCAATCTCAAACAGCTTGTGTGCGTTTAGTGTTGAATTCAGGGAGGAACAGGAACAACGCTCAGCTATTGATGCGCTTCACCAACTCACAGGACCCATCACAAAAGATACTGTAACTAAAACGTGGGTCTCTTCACGGATCAGAGTGGTGTGAATTTGTGTGAAAAAACGTTGTGAGTAAATTGAGGGGAGCTTTCGACGATGGGTTGAATGGGTATTACTTGTCTTCCACAACTGTAGGGTTTCTCACTGGAAAACTTGCATTGAACCAGGAAAGTGAATGAAGCATCATGCAAGATAGGTTGAAGAGCTACAAAGGCAAAGCAGGTCGGGGGCTGAACATAACAATGAGTCTGAAAGGGCTTTTCGTGGAACATGGTCCCTGTTGACCTTTCCTAAAAACCCATCTTGTACTTGTACTGACTATTGGTAGGCATGGCACAAGCCCAAGGCATACTATGGTATTGTTAATGCACACCCCTTAGAGGTTACTACGATTAGACACCGCAAACCGGGGTGTCTAAAAGATAAAGCAAATATTCCCCACAAAGGGGATTCACTCAGCTCGGGACAGAACAATCACCCCAACCAAAACCAGCTGAAACCACCTGAAACTGCACAAGAAAAAACACATCATAGCAAAGCAGCGTCTCTTCCTTGTAGTGCAACAGCGCCGGGCAGCTCTTCGTCCGACACAGCTCCTTTGGGCAGGTGAGCAAAACGTGTGATCTGTTGCTGTCTGTTGTAAGGATGCGTAGGATGCGTAGACGAGAGCATGGACTTACCGCCAATGACCTAGCTTGCGTACACGTGCTCTAATGCAACCTTGGAGTGCTTTATTTGCGCAAGGCTCTTGTGACAGAACCCTAGCTAGTCATATCTATGACAGGTTTTTTACCCTTGCTCAGTTGAACTACATAGTTTGTCTGGAGACTCTGCCAGCTCTGAAACATGAAACCTGATCGATATAAAGTTGAGCCTATCATATTCCTCGGAGCATCAGGATAAAGTCCTCCAAACTCGTCCCATCTGGCATAGGTTTTTATATCCCTTCACGCATCTATATAGCTGCGAAAAATTCTATCCTCCAGGCCTTCAGGACTTAAAGACTTTAAAGTAGAATCCTTGTATGTTACATGGAGCAAATCAAACTCACACCATGAATCATTTGTTCCAACTCAATCAGCAAGAATGAGCGTCTTTGTGGTCAATGGTCACTGATGATTTGGATAATCCCGCCTGGAGTCAAAGACTACCCTAGCCTTCCAGGTAGCTGGAATCCTAGGGATCATACTCAAGTCAACAACTCTATACTCCCTGACATCATCCGGATTGGAGAGCACGGCCCCCGTTGGATGAACATCTGAAATCTGAATACCAAACCAGGCGGTGTTTCTTTCCGCTTCCACGATGCGTTTGCGAGTGTTCTTGGAGTTTTCGTGGCAAAACAGTGGAAAAAACAGAATATCAGGATGGGCTTACCTTCAAGAACTTGTACTTAATTTCTGCTCAAAACTGCTTCAAGATGAACATGACATGAATACATCATCCATCATCCTCTGTTCGCAAACACACCACATTGAAACGCTTCAGAACATCCATCCGTGACTGCCGCCGGACAGACTTTCAGGGATTCAAGGTCCCTCTATAGGAGACCCCACTCCCACCAGCCCGCACCAGGGACCGCATCACTGGACCGTCCTGTGTGTCGGCAGGCACGACTTCCACATCCAAGAAGGTGTTCCGGGTCACCACTTCGACGGCACCATCGAAAAAGGAGAAGCGCAACGACGAGGGACTGACTGCCTGCGAGTGCGGCAGGTGACTGCCGCCGAACAGGGTGTGGTGAGAGTTCCATCCAAACCAAAAGAGGTTAAGAGACCTTGTGCAGAGGTAGAAGAACCCGAACTAGACTATCCCAGTTGGGTACCCCTGGTTTTCCGGGTCCTATTTACGGTCACTTGACCCCTGTTGGCATCCCCACCTCTTTTCTGGGTTCCATCACTCACCCGTTTCCTGGAAGTCTCAGCTGCCCAGCTCCAGCTCCGTCTCTTCTGCCCTGCCCGGGTCCACGAAGTCGGAGTGGGTTCCGACTCAACCAGAGTCGCATGGCCCTGGGTTCGGACCATGGGAACGGAGGGACCCAGTTCGGAATCTGTTTCGAGGGTACACAGCCACCGGAAATCGCAGTCCAGAATCTCTCCCCAGTTTGTAATCTCTCCCAATTCTTTTACTTTAAAACTTTAAAGTTCTGCTTCCCAAACCCGACCACACCAGCAGAGGTTGAAGAACCCTAGTTCGACTATCCTAGTTCGGTACTCCTGTAGGGTCCTATGAGGTCACTTAACCTCTGTAGGCATAGATCCACATGGCTTTCAGTCAGGATCGCCTGCATCGTGGTGGAGCCGCAAAAAGCGCGCTGGGGCGCTACCCGAATGTTCAAAACCTTCAAAGTGTGTAAGCCAAAAGGCTTCGGAACCAACCAAACTAAACAGTGTCCTTGTTTTATTTTTTTTTCAGGTTGGATTTCCTTGGTATCTTGGTATACCAAACTCAAACTGGGCAATTTGGGCACTGCTCCGGGAAAACTGACTCAAACAACATTGAACATTAAAAAGGTTTGCTGCTCCAGAGTTGGACCACGGAGCCGCTCGATCGAGATCTCACTTGATTGAGTGTCTTTCTTCTGCTTCTTCTTCTTCTTCTTCTTCTTCTCTTTGTCATGACTTCTTAGCCCTTAGTTGAAGACAGAGTAACTGGAAGGCATGAATCTTCTAGAAGCTCCTCCTAAGGACCCCGAAACCCACCCTAAGGACCCACAACTTAGGACCCCTCCATATCCTCCATACCAGGGTCCCGGAATCTGGTGGACTCTTGGAATGGTACCCGACCTCACCGAAGAGTCACGGCCACGTGGATGGCATGGTCCATTAGAAGACGGTCTTCCGAAATACCAAGAGGGGGTTGTCCACCTCCATGATTGTTGGGTGTGTGCAAATGAAACTCTTTTACAAACAAGGTCAGGCATCAAGAGCGGACTACTAGCAGGACACCGTTTTTGAAAGGTCGTCGCTAGGGGCCACCTAAACATTGGACCTAAAGATTGGCAAAGCTGGGTTTGGAACCTCCCAATTGCTCAGTCTAAAAATTCTCCCAAAGACAAGGAAGATAGACTCTAGACCAAAACCTACTGGTAAAATATACCATTTGTTGACACTGATTGGGTCTACCTACCTACCTACCTACCTACCTACCTTGGACCCTTGTGACAAAAGACCTCCAGCCATCCTCCAGCCATCCAGCTCTGTGCGCCACGAGTGGGTTCTGGCAGTGTGGCGGATGACTGGGTGTCTCACTCATCTGCATCTGCGCAAAGGCCACTGGTCCAAATTGGGAAAAGTGGTCCTGGAACGTGGATGGAGACCACTTGGCATCCGTCGGTCTTTGGGTGTGCATACCGTCAGAGCATGCCATGCCAGCCAACACATGTCCTTCTGCACATCCAACGGGGGGGGCGCCCTAGTTGAAAAGCACCTTGAAAACGGGGACCTGTCCAGTTTCTGCTCGAACAAAACCTCCACCTCCGATCAGACACCTGGACCTGGCCCACCCTCGTGTGACGGGGGGGGGGGTCTCCACCCCACCAGCCGAGGCTTGGCACCGAATCTGCACCGAAGCTGCCACGGCGTGGGTTCCCCGCCTGCTCATGCGGTTGGTTCGGAACATCCCCTTCAGACCTTCCCCAAAAGGCTTCTCCCAAATCCACGGTCCTTCCGACTCCTGGCATTTATTACGTCGATGTGTTGAGGTGAGGCGACCGGAATGTCGTCGTCCCCCTTCTAAGGAGGTACGACGGTCACCGCGACGGTCACGGCTGGTAAGGCCTGACATGTGGAAGCCTGGCGCCGCAGATTCGAGGCAAGCCAGCCACCTGTTCTGAAAGTTTGAGCAATGGAACTGCAAGATGAGCTGAAAAAGCTCCACCCCGGATAATATTCGATCCCAACAGCTGGGCATCCCCATTGGATCGCGCGTGCACGTGGCCCACGCACGCGCGCGTGGCCTTGAGCTCCTGCCATCGGAACGTCGCTGGAAGTCCCTGGACGATCAATTTGGACCTGGACGAGGTTCGAGGAGCCAAAAAACATCCACCAGGAGTCACACGTCGGGTTGCGGGAAGTCAGGGTGCTCTCAGAACATCCACTCTATAAGGGACTAAAAACCACCTGGCAGTCGACTTTACCTAATAAGAGATTCTTGCCCCAGTTGCGCAGTGGGGAAGACGGTGTGGGGAAGTTCATGGACCATCCCAACCGCGTGGACCCCTTCGATTGACTTCAGCCATCCAACGGTGATCAGATCCGGTCAGGGCCCTCTGTCTACCTTTTACGAAGCCTTTGGATCCGGCACCGTCTACTGCCCACTAAACCACACGGGCGCGACAGCGACCCGTCACGGTGCCCCGAGGCGGAGCGACAGCTGGAGCTTTGGTCCATGGGCGATAGGGCCAATTCTGAGGTTTCCAAGGAGGTCTCTATAGGTCTCTCAACAGCCAAGAGAGGTTCAGTGACCTGAAAAAGGAATTGGAAAACCTGGGGTACCCGGAACGCCTGGGATAGATCGAAGGGCGTTCGAACGTTCCTGACCCACCGAACAGTTGGAGGGAACACCACCGAAAACCACGTCCCGCGCATAAAAGACAGACGACTTCGGACATCGGACCATGGGAATTCGACGGACGTGACGTCTCTTATCTGGAGGCCCACAAGTCGTGTAGGGTCATTCAATGGGTGACCCATTTGACAGGTGCTGGTTGGCTTGCGTATGCAGGGTGAGCATATGATGTGGATGTGAAAAAAAGCCAGTCTTGGCCCAAAGTCTCTCATTACAAGGTCCCTCATATCGTCTTCAGGAACACACCACCGACATGGACGTCGACAAACAAGCTTAAACGCCAGAAACACCGTGTGAAAAGGCGCATGCTCACAAGGTGAGGTCTTTCCCAGACTTGTTCTTCTTTGATTTGCTTGAGGAACCGTGAAGAAACAAACAATCTTCCCCAGAAGGAGATTTTCCCAGTTGCAGAAGATTTAACTCTCTCCAAGCAAAACATAGCAAAACAAGGTTTGACTGTGCAAGAAGGATGGACTGAGGCTGGGCTAACCACCTCTATTGGCTTAACAACTCTCTGCAAGGAGCTGGCAGCAGGGGTGAGCTTCCACTGGACAAACCTTGTTTGGCTACGGATCATTGACGTTTCAACTCACATTGAAAGAATTTAATACGGGTACTTTTGATTTTGAAGCTGTCTGTGGTCATAGACCGCCAGCTTAAAAGAACATCCCACCCCAGAAAAGGGAAATCAAACCTACCTCTCGCGTCCAAGGCGCAGATCATGAGATGACGGGTCGAGCTGGACCTCGGCAGAGGAGTGGGCGCTGGTTTTCACAGCGAGGACTGGTCGACCAGCTATGAAATATGTGGGAGAAAAACTTATGACACATCTCATCCCATTAAAAAGGACAACAGCCTGAGACTCATAGATTGCAGGATATTTATAGGATGATATAGGATGCATGGCTGGACAACTGATACAACATGGCGCGATGATCTATGGCTGTTTGTTCAAACCGGGATACCTTGGGCACGACCTACCTTGAAGGTCTCTGGCTACACGGTGGACCAGGGCTCCAGGTTGAACCATCCATCTATCATATGACGAGATCATGATGTGCCAATGAGATCCAGCAAGCTGCCAGAGTCCCTGGACGCTGGCTAACTGGCCACCATCCTTGGATGCACTTGGTTGCCTTATGAATCATCTTCTGAATCGCTCCTGTCTGCGGCTCTCAACATCCCCACAGGAGGGAGCGTTTTCATGGGAAGTCCATCAGGACTCGTCATCCATCCAGTCCCATTGGAACCCAGGTGGTGCATCATTCATCTCCATCACCCGTCTCTGGGCGCTCTTGGCGCTCTCTCACCCAGTGCTGGGGAAGCCTCTTCCTTCGTCGCATGGACGAGGGCCATGCCACGAAGCCGTGTTGGTTCGACCCTCTTGCCTGGTTCGTTTGTCTCATGGTTTTTCCTCGCTTTCGTCTCTAGAATTCCTCTGAAGTTGAGAGTCTTTGACTTACCCAACTTAAACACACACATCCTACGAGACGAGTACCTCTCCGTCTTCTCATCGCATGGTTTTGGAGACTTCAGACGAAACTGAGACACCCAGTGCCGCTGGGTCACCCCGCAGAGACCTGGTGCCCGGCAATCCAGCTACCATCGTTCCTCGATTCCGAGTGATCCCATGCTCCGGGAATGGCAGGGATCATGATCGAAGCTAATTCCTGGGGAGTGAAACGGCAATGGCGGGGATTCTTGGCAATTCTTGGGTGTTGAAAACGAAGGATTTCGCCCCATGACGTGCTATGACATGGGACTTTCTCATTCTTGGATTCTTGGATTCTGTGGGGTGTGCATGTTCTCCTTCGAAAGTATGTTGCAGTAGATGTATGTACCAGGACCTTCCAACAGGTCTCCGAGTTTTGGTGGCTGAAATGCAGACTTGTTCAAGTGGCAGGTGGTGACCTGTTGGAAGGTCCTTTCAGGTGCTGGGTAGCTATCATCGTTCGCCTTCCGCCGTTGAGGGTCTCTTGTTGACCTGCTTGCTGGTCGACCCGCCTTCCGCCCTTTTGGCGTGACGCTCGGCCGACCCCGACGCCGACCGGTCGACCGACGCTCGCAGTGACCGAACGCCGAACGCCGCTCGCCTTCGCTGCTCCAAAGGCGCAAAGGCGCGAGCGGCTCGCATCCGCGGATCACGTTTCTGCCAGTTCTGACCCGTCTTTCGCGCAGAAACGTGATCCGCCAGGAGACCGAAATCATTCGAGTTTTGGAGGGTCTGACCCTGCATGATTTTTGACCCTAGACCTCGTCCGACGGATGGAATCGGATCCTCCGGTTGCCTTAGCCTCAGCGATCATGATAGGGATTAGACATTGCACTCCCTGGAACTAACGACGTGAAGAATGGCCATGAAATCAACTACAAACAGGTGGTTTTCCACTTGCATGTAGAGTATAGAGATGTCTGCCTGCAGACCTTTTGCAGGTGTGTCCTGTCGATTCCGGAAAGTTGTTTTTGGGATGTTGTAGGTATAGGTGTAGAGGCTTCCCAAGCCAGGTGACCCCGTAACCCTTTTTCAGGCGCTGACGCCGAGGCTTCGAGGGCGTCGGCAGGGTTCTCAAAGCGGACCTGAAAGAGGAGGAGGGGCAAAGAACAGGGGACAACAAACGATCCGTGAGACAACCGACGATCCGTGAGACAACATGGAACAACTATGAACACGTATGATCCATATGATCCATGAGACAACCGGAGATCTCTGACTATATGTGGAAGAAGTCATAAACTGACACCAGCCTTGTTTTGGTTGGTGAACACCTCAAGAGATGAAGCATGCGCGCAACTAGCGCAAAAACCTACTACATAGACATACATGCAGCAGAAATACCCCAAAAAGATCATACACACACGGCCTTTTCAGTGCACCCAGACTCAGATCGCCCTGAATGTATTACAACTATTTCCATCTCTTTCTCTCTCTCTCTATAGTATGCATACATATTATATATTTATACATATAATATACATACTAGTAAACACACACATATATATATACATACACACACACACACACGTGCTATCCCTTTGCAAACTTTGCAAACAACCTTCATTTATTAGAGCCACATAATATGTTCTTGCAGCGCAAACAGTATTTCAATGTATTTCACGTTGTTGCATCACTAGCTTGGTGTTGTGTTGCCCAAGATCATACAATTTGCCATGCGTCAAGTTACGTTGGCTTCACCTCTTGTCGAATATGGATAGACAAGTAACATGAGCTCAACTATCATAACTGGCAAATGGCCACATACACAAACAAACGTAATGCCGTACTGTACTTTCCTAGGGATCTCCATTGGACATCCCTTGGATCCCCAAAGTCACTTGTTTGCTCATGGGAAGTGCCACTGCTCGGCTCGCCTGTCCCACCGCCAGGCTCGCCGGTCCAACTGCCAGGCTTGCTGTGGCCTCAGGTAGGGACCAACCAAGAAGAAGTTAAGTTAGATGATTTCCCCAAACAGGGTCTTAGTATTGGCAGCTAGAATCCATCCTCTGACCAATCGCTTTGAATCCATCGGACCCCCCTCTGTTTGATATAGGGATCGAAGAAACACACAAAGCAAAAACACATGACGAACAAACATTCGCGTGTGCCACCAGTTTTGGGGTCGGTTCTATGGCAGTGGGATTAGTACTTCGATGGCAAAAATACTACGCACTGAGGGCCTAGCAGCGCAGAAAGGCCCTCAGAAGAGGAGAACACCTCAGCCCTGGCTAGGTTGGTGGCATCCTATTCTGTCTGCAATGATTTTGGGGTCTCCCCATATCAACAAGATATTGCAAGTCGCGGATTTTGTCAGGCCAATCTGGACTGTTCCAGCAAGGTAGACTCTTGATCCATTAAACCCCAAGCCTGAAGAGGTTTTGAATGGAAGAATCTGCATTACTCTTTCCTGTATTTGTCCATCCAAACCGCTTGCAGGGGGCTCATTCAACTTTGTGGTCTCACCACTGCAACCTGTTCTGAGAAGCTGCAGCAACAGTGGATGCTTTCCCTGGGATGCTTCTAGACACGGACTTCAACATGAAAGCACAACTTGCTCAGATTTCTCAAAGCAGATCGCACAAGAAAACCCTGCCATCTGGGCAAAGTACATCGGACTTCGATGCCGAAACCGTCTTCCCCATCTATGGAGTCTTCAAAGCCAATTGGGGCCAAATGAAGTCATAGTGAACAGCTGGAGCATCGGCGACGTCGGCGTCGCTCCCCGAGCTACTCCCGTTCTCCTCTGGGACTCCAGGCTGGCCCGACGCCCTCGAGTGAAAGCTGCCGCACTTGAACAAAGGCCACGGGCCCAGCGGCCTCACGTCGAAGAGAAGCTGAGAGAATCGATGGGCCCAGTGGTGGTTTCTATATAAACGGTCAATGTATCTAGATAATATAGATATATACAGTGTATTACAGTCAATCTATAAATTAATACAGTAGATGGCACAAATGTCCAAGTTGGGTGGTTTATATGGACCCGCATACTACTACGGAGGGGGCACCCTGCCATCTACTCTGAAAGGACTGGGACTGTAACTCTAGAACTACATAATTAGAACCTACCTAGCGCTTACAATGGGTGTCCAATGGTGACCTATAAGCAGTGTAGGGTTGTCCATTGGTAACCCCTTGGAAGCAGCTGGTAGGCATTTGGAAAGTAGAATCAGACCCAAACAACGTCCGGAAATCCAAGGCATCTGATAGTTATCGTGCGTTACAACGCTCCAAGAACTGTTGAGATCTGTCGCATGGGCCGCATGGGTTAGAAACATTTTTCCTATGGCAATCCAAGACCCTGGACATGCAAACATCATAGAAGGCTGTTCCAAACATGGCTTTGGCAGGAAAATCAGCAATCGCCACGGAGAGTTGGAGGTTTTGAACGGATTGGTGGTTCCCACTTCCATGTAGCATGGATTGTTCAACCTACCAGTAGGTGGTCCAGGATTTGAGTCACCTTATGCACATGGATGATTCGTCATGATTTTACATATGGATGGATGCCTTCATTTCTTGAAGGGCCCGCCCCCCAAAACAACCCGCCCTAATTACTGGTGTAAATAGAGCCATAAACATCCACAAACCTTACCCTCGCAGGTGTTCTGGCCCCCGGTGGATTTGAACTATATAGCTTTACCCCAGACCAAGGTGTCTGTGAAACTTCGGGCATTCTCGTCTTGGTCGTACCAGTCATCCCAAAAAACCAAATTCTTCTCAACGCAAACACTCCATTGGGATTGATTGGGATGCGTGTCTACCGAGTCTACCCCTGAAATCAACCACCCCAATGTATGCAAATATGGCCAGTCCCAGACAGGTCGTGTGTTGGTTCCCGTCACAACTGATTGCTCTCCAAGTTGCTCCCATGAAGTCTTTCAACTCTTGCCACTGGCATGTGCCAGGCCTCAGATTCATCTGTCACATGTACCCTGGAAGTCCATGAGACCTTTTTAAAATGGGAACGATCTGGTTTTGTGGTGCATAATCCTTATAACACAATGGTTGTTCGGGATTTAAGCTATTGAGCAGAATGGTAGTTCGCCTTCCAGGGTATATACCCTGGAAGGCAGACTCATGCGCTGCATGTTTCAGCAACCAGCGAAGTCTCCAACGTCTCCACCTCAACAGATCCAAACACCAGTAGGTCAGAGGCCATCGCTAGTAGGTTGGAGGCTATTGCTAGTGTTGTCGGAGGCCATCGGTAGTAGGTTGGAGGCCATCGCTAGCGTTGTCGGAGGCCATCGCTAGCGTTGTCGGAGGCCATTGCTATTAGAAACAAAGAAACAGGAAAAGGAAGTGTTTTCGTCTATGTGTTGTATATACATGGTTAGTATGCTAAGTGTTTACCAACCACGGTGGATCTTTAAGAAGGAAGAAAGGTCTCGCCGGTCTCGCCTTGAAACACCCTCTGGGCACCCCAAGCAGCCCCAGCACCAGGACCTTCGTGCCATCCACCGACGTTTGATCCGCCTGGCGACCAAGCCACGTGACCCCTGCGGCACGAGGAAAGAATGAGCCCAGTGGATTCATGTGGTCACTTTAACAGGAGTCCAACCACTATGACTACCACTATGTGGTAACTTGAACAGGCTGAATCCCGGTTCCCGAGCTGTTTTGCTCAGGCTTTGACACTACAAAACCAGGTCGGAGTCCCGAACTCTTTCCATGGGTGTTCACGACCGCCTAGGCCGGGCGGGTGGTCTCACGTCCTCCGTCCCATGTCGTCCCATGCGTGGGCCGACGTGGATCGGATGGCTGCTATTGGCTGTAGGAAGACGCTGGAAGACTCTGTCTCAGTTCGAAGTGCTGGAAGAAGGGAACTAGTAACATTAGTAACTATAGACCCATTGGGGCCGGATCTCAAAATACACACCCAGGTGGCCCTTCAGCTGGGATGGAGGGAACACATGCGTTTTCGCAACCCCCCACATTCCAAAACTCAACTGCTTCTCGACACGTACGCACACGTGCCGTGCGCCTTGATCGTCACGGGATGACCGTGGAAGTCGTCGTAGTTCAGCGCGTGCTGAGCTGCTGCGGCATCTTCATAGCGCACCTGAGGGCTGGTCGCAACATGATCGTCCGTTCCATGTCGGGCTGACGGTTCCTGTCGGTCGGGTGCTCGGGGTGCTCCTGTCACCACTCACTTATTAAATGTTCCTTGGAACTGCTGGCCTTCTCACTTGATCTCACTTGATGATTTTATCTTGTTTTTTGCTGAGCAGCATGGAACATGGACTTTGAGACACTTTGAGTGTAAACTGTTTGACGATTACACTCACTGAACTAGTCATAACAAAGTGGAAACTTGATAATGTATGATCGTGTGTACTGAACCAGGATGCTTGGGGCGGAGTATGTGAGGTCTCATTCAGCAAAATGGTTGGCTTGCTAGGGGACATCAATATTTATCTTAAGTTCTTCTTTGGGGCCGCTGCTGTCAGCTTCCCCTTGGCCAGACCCTTTTTCCTGCGCGAGGATATTCATATCTTCAGTTCTTCAGCAGACTGCTTGAAGAACTCTTCCCGTCGCCAGTCGTATGTCTTTACCCAAAAGCCTGGCCTTGTAACCTCCTGACCCGGCTTCACCCACCTGCCCCCGGCCGGCCAACTGCCTCCCCCACAGCTTTGGTGGCCTGGTCTGGTTGGGGGTCGGGGTCTGAATGGACCCCGCGAGCCGGTTGCGTGGGTTGCCTGGTCAGAGCTATGGTTCCCAAGCTTCTGTTGCTTGGGGTCTTTCAAAGGTCTTTCTTTTCCTTTCCAGGATTCAAGGCGCAAAAACGACGGTGGAGGACACAGGACGCAAACGTTTGATGGTGTTTTCCGCCTACGGACGGACGTCCTGCGAAGCGCAGCCAGATAGCCAGTCTGAGAGGACGTGAGATTATGTTGTTTCTTTCGTATCAAAACATGGCCTACTCAATCCTATCGGATCTATATAAATCCGGTTTCTGCCACACAGGAATTTTATGGAATTAGACATGAAATCAAAGAAACAGGTTGACTGTCAGATGTTTGAGCGTGATGTTGAAAATGACGCGAAGGCGATAGTTGATAGAACTGCAGATTGTGACACTGTTGGTATTCATCCTTTAAACCGTCACTGATCTTTAATGTTCAAATTTGTTGCTCCTGGTGATAATATCCCGAAACTCATTGAAAACCATGATGATCCATGATGAAAGTGGTTTCCTCTCTTTTTTCGGATTCTCCAAACATCACGGGCTGCTTGTGCATGACCTAGTGGCTAGGAGAGCGCCAGCGATCCTTCCACAACTTTGTGACATGGAAAAAAACACACATTTGCAAAGCATTTTGTACAACCCAAGGATGTGATTCTCCCAAATACTATGCCCTATAGTAGTAGGGCTCCAGTCGTACCTTCTAAGGTGTTTTGGGGTGGGTTTAGAGGCTCCAAAGATCGTCAGTCTCCCCAAGGGGCTTCCACCGCAGGACCGCGCGAGCTCCGCCCGGCGAGCTCCGCGCGGCGAGCTCCGCGCGTCCGCCGCTCGCCTCGCCGAGAGGTGCTCCTCCGAGACGTGCTCCGGTCGCACAGGCCAGCGGGCACGTCAGGGGCCACGAAGAAGAAGAAAAGGAAGAAGGTAAAGACAGCAACAAACAAAACACATATAGAAGAATTAAGAACAAAAAACAACTAAGAGGAACCACATAGAAGAAATAATCATGTTCGCTCCAAGGAGACTCCGACTCCGGGTCTGCGTGATGGGTGACCGACAACGGACCCGTTGTCGTTGGTTTCCCAGACATGACTGTCAATTGAGCAGCTGGCTCTTGGGACAGGTATCAGGAAGAAGGGCAGCAAACCGGCAAACCCATGGCTTGCTACAGCTCCTTGCGGTCCTTGCTGTGGCAGAAAGCCCGCATAGGCGACGGGCCCAATCCGAACTTTGAAGTGATCCTGTGCGCTCAGCGGGGTGCGGTCCTTGGAGGCCTTGTTGGGTTTGACGGCCCCTGAAGTTCTGAAGGTGGGTATGTTAATAGGGAGACTTCCAACTAATGGGTTTTTAGAGGCTTATTTCACTTCTTCCAGGGGGTCATTGCGACGTACGCAAGGTACGCTGGCCTGTAGGTGTTTGTGTATTTCCTTTGGTTCGCTACTGTTTGAACATGCTTGGAGAAATAACGGAACCTGACTGCAGTGCACACTTTGTCTTTTGGAGTTCTAATTGAACGCGTCTTTTAGCGATTTCGAGAGTTTAAGATAGTTCAAGACGTTCGTAAAATGCGAGAGTTCTTGGTTGTTTAGCATGGTTGTGCAGTCTTGTAGGTCAACTCTGGAGCTTTCATGAGCTTTCCTTCAGTGGAGTGGAGCGGAATGGAGTGGAGTGATTGTACGAGCACGTAGTGAGCGAGTGCCAGAGCGGGGGTACCTCTTATTGGAGTCAAAAAACAAGGTTTTTCTGAGATGTGGAGAAACATCTCCCTCCAAAATATCAGTTCCGTCCATTGGAAAAGGTGATGAAACAGCTTCAAAGCTTGAGAGTCACTCCTTCCGTTTCCAGCTTGCCTCGTTCCGACATCGGCACGGGAGGCATTTTTCTTGGTCCCCCGCGGGTGGGTTTTGGACCTCTACACCTTCAAGGGCCGGATGCCTCGGAGAAAAAAACAAAAACACACACACACACACTATATGAGAATAAGGGGGGGGTCCATCAAACGTTTTCTGTGAGGGGCGGTCAACCCACCACCCCAGCATGTCGGCTCCATCACCCTCTCCTTTCGTGCTGGCCGACCCTTTCGGTGCCAGCCGGCGTCAAAGAGGAACCTCTAACACCGGTGGAAGAGGCACCTCAATGTTCAAAGCATCCCGACGCGGAATCCGCACGCCCAGCATGAAAGGTTTCATGGGCTGAATCCCGAACCATCGAGCTGAGCTGATGGACGAAGGAGTTGAAACTGCCAGGCCCAGTTTTAGGGTAAAGGCTTGTTTGTACCCGCAGGATCCCGCAGGTTTGCTTTGTGTATTCCTACCAGAATCCTGCCGCTTCTGGGATTGGGCCTCACACAAGTTGTTGCACAGCTGGACGATCGATGAATCTCTCAAGTTTGACAACACACGAGTGTGGCAGGAATCGGCTTCATAAACTGGAGGGCTCCAAAGCGGATTGGTCTGTCTGAGTGTGGCTGATTTGGTGAGAGGTTCCCCAACACCACAGCATGAAGAGATTCACCAGGTACATGAGGTCATCCTCTTTGTCCTCGGCTGAAAGTATGGTCAAAGAGTATTCCCTTGAGGGGAAAAGAACTGAAGGGAAGATCACAAAACAAAGAACAGCACACACACACACGCAAACTTTAAGCACTCTGATGACCACACCGAACAAACTTGTATAATAAGCAACACATTGTCTTGTAGTCGGTTTGCATCGCGTCTCCTGTCTTTTTTTTCGTCTTCTCTCGTGATTTGTCTTATTTCAAACATCCCGCCGTCTCCTCCTATCCGTGCCGTCGCGGATACCCGGTGGGATGGCGGGTCCTTCAGTTCCTGCCAGCGGACGGTGGGTTGCAACCCATGCACCAAGATGGTGGACCTGCGGCGTGCGTGCTGAATGCGTGCCACATGTGTCGCGCGCGGTGTCGTTCCGCGCGGTGTTCGCGCGCTAAGGGGTTTTAGCACGTCGTGGAAGGAAGCCGAAAGAGGTGTTGACGTGCTGTAGGTTCTATGTGTCCCAAACACTCCATGGGACTGGCATATTTACCAATCAGTTGGGGCATTTTCTCGGGGGGGTCAATGTAGGCTTATAATTCATACATGGAGTGTTTGGGTGTTGGGAAACCAAACAAGAACGACACAATATGGTGTGCTGCAGTTAGAAACAGGGGATCAGGTGATCTTGGCTGGAAATT